TTCATTTTGCAAGTTGTACCTAGCTACAATCGGCGGGGAATCGATACTGGATTAATTGAGAAATGTCCGGCCGAGGACTTCGCGGACGAAAGGATACGGTGATTTATTGTCTTTGTTTTAATACTTATGACAATAAGATTCTCGAGGAACAAGCGCGCAGAGTACAGGTCGATTCTCGATTTTTCAAATAAATACATCTTCCTTAATAGTGCCTTCCATTGCTATACGTCTCTTCGGAAAGTGATTCTACAGCATGTCATGAGTTACGGTGAAATGAAAGGCTAGGTCACTCAAAGCATACCTGAGCCTTATCTCCACAATTACCTAAAGTGACAAGACCGAAAGTCCCCGAACATGATACAAAATGTGGATCTTTGTTGTCAACAGTGACCTGAAACATGATACTCTCCGTTATTGCTTGATTTTTTACACTACAGATCATCACTCAAACACGGCTTTAACCTTCTTTCCGTGTATTATCTTTGTGTACGTTTGAAGTATTCTGATCCGAGGAGCTCTAAAGGAACCCGACGCTGCGGAAGAGGGGTACGGCTTATCTCGGGTGAAGAAGCCGAAGTTGGGGAAACTCTCGGGCCAAACCTTAGGTGTCGGGTGGAGAGTCAACCCCCACCAGTATGTCCCGATGTCCCCGATACATGCAGAGCTCGAGTCTATTGCTCAACTGGATCGGATTTAATATGTGAATGACCAGGTGACAGAGTTCGCCATGACATGCAATGTAGATTATGAGAGGAATCCTATTCCTCCGAGGAAGGCTGATAAAGAGGCGCACACACGCAGAGAGACAGAGAGAGAGAGAGAACGCCATATCTACAAAACCAATACCTCCACACCTACCAGGTTTTTAATCTATCCACAGCGAAGAATAGCAGTCATATATCTCTCCTACCAAACAATAGAAATTTAGTTGAAAAATGCCAAGCACGCAAGCAACACGAGTCATAGCATCCGCTGCAATCACCTTCGCAGTCGTTGCACCCTTCATCCCACCTGCCTTAACCACCGCAAAGATACGATCAAACCGTCGTGGCTCTAATGCACCTCTACCGCAGCATTTTGTGAGATACACCTGTCCATTCACATGTCTGCCTGTTTCTAAACTCTCTCAGTGCATGCCTTGTCTTACATTTGCAGCAGCCGCGGCAGCAGTCCTCAAGGATACCTCCGGACATTGTTTTTGACGCGGAAAGTGATTGATACAATCGCATTGCACACGGCGTTAAGTAGCGAACTGGTGTGGGTTTTGTTGGCTTTCTTTTTGGATATAGTTTGCTGTGGTTGGAGTATTGAGCACGTTGCATATGTCCAGCGGGATTCCTTTTCTTGGCCGTTTTACCTTTTTTATTTTTTTTTTTCTTCTGTTTACCAAAGTTAGCGCATCTTTGATATGAACCCAGCTCTTGTTATACTTCCTACACTCCAACCTAGCAATATACTGCTCACGTATGCACACCGCCCCCGACACCCCTGCCTGGTTACTTTCTTCCATAGCTACGACAATACTTGGAAGCAAGTACCAAAGTACAATGAGTATCTCTTTGCGAAACCTTGCAAAAGCCATTGTTTATATTGCCTAACGGAGCCCAGATACATCAAATGGTGGAATAATAACATATACAGAAATCAAAGCTTCGCGCCTCCCCAGCTGTATCCATCCGAGCACTATGCACCAGGAACATTAAGATACAGCCAACACCGCAACTGCCCACGCCGGCATGTCAACTGTGAAGCTTCCACTACCAGACACAGTAGAAGTCTGTGTCGTAATCGACACATCATGCGGGTAGTTGCTCACTGTCTCTCCCCCGGAGAGCATCTGGAGCTGACCGGATGTCGTGCCCTCGATATTCACAGTTACGTTCTGTGACGACGATCCGTAGTTCGCCAGCTTGACGTAGTACGTACCTTCGTCAGACACGGAGGCGACCCAGTAGAGCGGGTCAAAGTCGGCGGTCGTGTTGACTGGGAGGACTGTGGAGCCGCGGTTCGTGGAGAACATCTTCTGGACGTAGTATGATGTGGATCCTGTTACGGAATCTGGACTGGAGTCGAGACCGAAGAGATCGGGCTGTTGCAGAGTTAGTATTTCCCGCAAAGTAACCGGGCGCGTGTGGAATAGGGTGTTTCAACACTTACCGACCACTCGGCCATATCAAAATGCTCCAACAACGGGGCGAAGCTGGCCATCTTGACAATGTCGCTGTTGCGTTCCATGCCGATCATGTAGACGGCTTCGCTGCAGGATCCCTGCATGTATGACCAGTAGGTGGTGCTGCCATCATTACCAGTCGTGCTGGCGTATTCGCCGACAAGGATAGGCCAGTCGCGCGACCAGTTGTCCCATTCATCGAAGAGGTCGATGAACTCGTCGGGAGTGAGGTAGTGGTGGATGTCGGTGATGACGCCGTCAGGGATGGTGGACGGGAGGCAGGATGTGTCGGTGGTGGACGCGACAATGGTGAGGCTGGGGTATGCGGCATGAACTGCATCGTATATCAGGGTGAAGCGGTTTGCATACGTACCGCAGCCGCTGTTAAGGTTGTCTTCGTTGCCGACCTCAAGGTACTTGACGTCCCAAGGCTCGGTGCGGCCGTTCTTGGCACGCAGGGCGCCGTAGGTCGTGTCTGCGGAGCCGAGAACGTACTACTGGTGTTAGAATGGCTCAAGGGGTATTCCTTATTGGTGACGTACTTCGAGTTCATTGAGAATGTCGTCGACGTAGGGATCCAAAGCTGACCCGGACACGATACCGCCGCCTAGGGAGAGACCACTCCACACCGCGAGAAGGGGCTCCATGTCCATGTCCTCACACCATTGAAGGTATTCATCAAGGCCTGAACTTTGAGTTAGTCTGATAGTTTTGAGAGATGTTTTAGAGCTTACCAAGTGCGTCCGTGTTGGGATAGGTCCAATCACCTACAAACGATGTAGGTCAGTGATAGTCTGAACCAAAAACAGCATGAAATATCTACCTTCGCGTCCTGGGCGATCAACGACAGGGCCAATAGTCTCATTCCACTTCCAGCGATCGCTTGGGGTTGCGCCTTCCCTGAGGAACGATTAGTTCAGCTTCGGGTGCAGATACATCTTCCATCAAGGGCACCCACAGGTTATTGCCACCAGGAAACCGCAAGAAAGATGGTTTGATATCTGCGAGAAAACTGGCAACATCATCACGCAAGCCGTTGTACCTGGACCCTGTTAGACTGTCGCCCGGGATAATATGATTGACAACACTTACCGTGAGTTGTAAGTAGGAGGGAACAGCTGCACCAAGCCAAAATTCAGAGAGCTCCCAGCCACTTTGGAAGCATCGAATCGTAGCTGCCACACATTGTGCGCATCTGCAGACACAGAAGAGCTGAAGGAAGTCTCATAGTAGGTGAAGTTGGAGCTGGTGCTCGCCACTGTGATGTTATGGTCCGCATAGATAATCCCACTCGAGTTTCCCACGAGTCGGAGGTTCACCGTGCCAGAATAATCCCCCTTCATATAGAAGTAGTTGTCGTAGTCGGTCCCCAGAACAGGGACGCCATCATAACCTTCATTTGCGAAGCCAACGTAGCCAGTTGCTCCAGAGGGAACGGCTACCTTGAGGGTGGAAGTGATAGCGCTGCTAAGGGGGTTGGTCGTGTCTTGCGATATAGTCACATTGCCTACCGCGCTATATGCCGTGAGGCCCGGGTCGTCGCCCTGGAAGCCGTTGTTGCGGAGTACTTGGCCGTGGATACCGCCGTCACCTAGCGCTAGTTAGTGCGCCATTTCCTAGGTATATTGATGGTTCGGAATTACCAGAGTTGTTGATATCCTATATTCAAGAAGATGAGCGACTACACTGAAGGAGATGAGGGCAAGTCGGGGGACTTACCTCGAACATGACCCCATAAAGAAGTGGACTGGACGAATTCCCGCCAGTCTTTGACACCGTCAGCTCAATGGCCAGTGCCTGAGAAGCAAGCCATGTCACGGCCAAGGAAGCCAAAGTAGAGGAAAACATGGTGAAATGCTTCTAGCTTTGGTGACTCTACTAAGCGGTATCATACGAGGGCTACAACTTCCCGGAAGACGCCATTCATTAAATACTTTACGCAACAATTAGTACTTCATGCAGTCTGCAGAACTATTCCTGTTCCTTGCATGCTGAAGCGATAGTAGTGGGCAACGCATGGGCCCATCAATGCAAAATGACCGCATTGTCCCTACCCAGGCCGATACGCCCACAGGAGAATTACTCCGTTGGGATTGACATCACCAGGCACTTGATGGCACCGACCCCTCACGCAGCAGAAGATGCCGGCAATCGCGGTTAAAGCAGAACAGAAATAGACTAGCATTATGTATCATGCAGGCAACATCTGGTGCATCTTGTTGCATGGTCAAAGAACTGCGGGGGGCAGATGAGGGGTTTCGAGGCTATCGCTGTCGTCCTCGGCCATTCTGCGCCGATGGGGTTAACGACAAGCGATAGTACTAGGTGCTTGGCGGAAATTTTCCGACCACTCAACTAGGTCTACGGAAATTGCATCTAAATATTTCAAGGCACGAACGTAAGCCAACATGTCATTCATGATTCCATATCTAACCGTCAAGGAAGATGAGTGGTAGGTACCTGGATATGAGGCGTACCAAGCCCTCGTATTCGGGCCGCTCAGGGGTCAATCCAGGAACTTCTACAGGCGCAGATGAACGCTATGCCATTTGTAGTAGAGGAGTCGTGTATATTGTGTCACCTACACTTAGAAAGGCGGAGTTTCCGCAAGGAAATGGCCTGTGCACACGGATATTGTAGCCAAGAAATAGTCATCAACTGTGTGATCCGTATGCAGACCTTGGTATTTGCCCATATATTGAGCATCATAAAACATTTGATTGCAGAAGCTCTGTAACAGACAACCAAATAATATTAATGATCTCGGTCCCACTTTTGCTGTTGTGTGGTAGATGAAAAAGTAGGGGGCAAAAAAAAGAGAAAAAAGAAACGTCCCGGGAGAGGATCGAACTCTCAACCTCACGATTAACAGTCGTACGCGCTAACCTTTATATTGAATTAGTAACTGGATGATTGGATTGAAATGTTGAAGGGTAAGCTTACCAATTGCGCCACCGAGACGACTCGATATTTGGTGCAGCAAAATAGTGCTTCATGTAGGGCAAACACACAGAACATTCGGCTCCCCTAAAATTACCTATTTTCAACACAACATCACTTCGCTGGTCTGAACGATCTTCATCGCTGTATTTACTTCATAGTGTGCTGAATGTCTTCTAGGCTGAAGGCTATGTTACATGTACAGTGAGAATCCTTTGTAGCAGTAGTATCATACTAGGTTGGTCATACTATAGCCGACCTGTGGATATATAAACATCGTCCCCGCAGCAATTCATATATCCTTGAAGGGTATGCCGGAATCCCGTGCAAAGTCGCGGGACAATTACTACTGGCCAAAATATAGGAGGAAGAATGTACGCTATCATCTTAGATCATCACCGGGTGGGATTTTGCCATCGGCAATATCCGGCTCAGTCAGTGACATGATGATAATTTATAGACTAGAGACGGGACCGCATCCTTTTCTAGTGCCTAATTAAACTAGAATAGTATCCCTCAAATGCTGCCAGGTAACAAATATTAGTGCCGCATCATGATAATATCTTCGGTTGTAGGCATGAACTCCATAGTATACTATATGTTTCTCCGAACTCCGCCGTGTGAACGGAACTTTAGAGCGAAGGACATCATGTACTATTCGACAACCTATACACATCCCTGTAAATGAAACTGATCCGATCAGGTCGCCCGTGTGAATCGATCCAAAGTTACACCTATTCCATGACCATCGGCTTATGCATGGACTTGGTTGGCTGTTACACAGCGAGGGACGCGCGAGACTACAACTGAATAGAGTTTGGAAGTCCAGCAGCACACTAATGTTTTCTTGAAACTAGTCCAATCAGTCGCCGTTTGAAATCTCACCTCAGATACTATAATCTTCCTAACGGGGTATAGCTTCGCTCTACCTGCCTCCAGAAGCAGCCACTCGATCTTAAGGCGGGGTACTGAAATTTCTTAAGGCTTAGCCATTCATACTGTAGTAAATGCATTGAAACAGATATCAACAAGATGACATTATGATCATTAGAACATTAAAACTAAAAATCACAATACTGATGATCCCACTTCCTACGCCTCAAAGCCAAGTCCAGGGCCATGGTGCGGAGACTTCAACGCACGGTCGTATTCCCTGTCAGCTTTGAAATCGTCTCGAGCGATCTGGTCCTCATTGGGGTGGTGGTGCGTATGCTTGTTTTGAGGGGGGTGGGAGCGGTGGGTGTGCTCGTGGCCTGGTCCTATAATGTTAGTCACCAGTATCTTTTTCGATGCTAGATAGATGAGCCGGGAAAGTCGTAACAAACCATCATGACCGATAGTAGGGGGATGCTCATGACTATCGTCGTGCTTGTGCTCGCCCTTGTCCTTATGGTGAAGATGTAGAGCATCTTCGGCCTTGTGGATGAAACCCGACATGGTGGTGGATGAGAGTATTTCCGGGATGTGAAGTGGTAGATTCGTTTGTGTTGGATTCAAGGTTGATGATCGGAATGGATACTGATCTAGTCTTTCGAGGAAGAGCAGAAGACTTATAAAGGTAGCGGGAGGTTAGATGACGTCGAATAAGATGATTGCGTGGCTGGCATCCAGAATGGGCTGATTTGATAACTTCCAGTTTCCTTCCTTTGCATGCATGGCCGGGCCTACTTTGACGTCATCGCGGAGATGCACGGGCTGATTGGAGCAACATCGACTAGGATGTAGATCACTAGATAAAGCCTTGTCTGGAGACTCGGAACAAGCGGAACGTTTTTCTAATACATTGTACTAATAAATTCATGTGAGTTTTAAAAGAAGACGACTTGTTTGGGGCTACTAATATGGGGGCTGAGCGGGTGTACTGTCCGAGGCGTGGAAGTATACTAAGTCATAGGTATCACATGAAAATTTATGGGATTCCAGCATCGATACCAGGTCTGTGCACGAGGACGTAATATTTATTCTAGGCTAAACCTCACGGTCGCAGACTATCTACTCAAGGCTTGCTTGAAGTAGCCAGGGACGTGGTACACTACCGATTGAGGAAACCCGAGCGATCCAAACTAATTTAATTCATATTCTTATACCTGATCGAGCCCGCTATGCAAGATGCTGGCTATGCAGGTGATTCACCGTTCGAAGCAAAAATATGGCCTTGAACGCTGTCGAATTCAGAGTCAACCCCGCGCCCATAGGACTGGCATTGTTTATTCGACATAACGGACGGATAGCACAGCAGAGGATTGACAAAGCCTTCTAAAACATCTTCAATATGTTATCGGCCAACTAAAGAAAACAGGCAAATTTTGTTTATCTCTCAAAGTACAGCATTAGAGACTAAGCCGTGTGTCTGATAGATGCCGAAAGGCTACACACCGTCCTCAGTGGCGCGCACGGTTATCGGAGGGCTTCCAGGCTTTCCCGTTTCATCATCTGGGGAAAGAACCGGCTCTTCTTCGAGCAAACTATCAGTACGAGTTCTTCCAATGATTCCTCTGGCGGTGTCCCTTTTTTCGAGGTAAGCGATAAGACCGATAACTGGGAGAGTTAACATCCCCGTCACTAAGCTCGCAATATACCCTTTTCTGAAGTTGGGCGAATCGGTTACTGGATAGAAGACCAACGGCCACCAGGTCACAAAAGCAAAGTCAAAGGAGTTCATGAATCCAGTTGTGATGGCACGCAGCTGGAGGTCATGGCCTGTAACGTCGGCCATCCAGGAATACCAGACAGCCTGAGGCGCGTATGTCGTTCCGAGCAAGTAGAAGGCAACAAAGTAGCCAGCGTCCGTGGAAGGGGTCGATACAAGGATAGCCGAGCCGATGACAAAAGTTAGACCAATGGCGATAGAGACCTCCCATCGCGATTGTAGCTTGTCTGAAATCGCGGCATACACAACTATACCCACAACGGCAGTGGCATGGATGACGGTAGGATAGGTGTTTTGCTGGACGACTGTGTACCCCCGTGAGGCTAGCCAGTAGGCCATGACGTTGTTCCCTAGCATTTGCACACAAACTGAATACACTGATTGGATATTAGCTCGGTGACTTGAAGACAAAACTCTCTCGACCTACACATGAAAACAAACGGCAGGAGCCAGAATTGCCAGCTCAACAAGACGCGCTTGAAGACTGTGATGTCCCAGGACTTCTTGGAAAGGGTACCCAGTCGAGTTGCCGCATGTTCCTTCTGTTCATCGGTAAGATACCAGGCTGCACGGTGTGATGGAAGGTCCGGAATGAAGACCCAGCCTACAAAATTGTTAGCATTCTCTCACTGGGACAGAGTACAAGCCATACCGAAGAGTGCCACCGGCAGAGTCATCACTGAGACGATGATGAATATCCACTTCCATGCCGGTAGGCCACCTTTACCAGCGAGTGTCTCTAACAGACCGGCTTGAATCCAGCCACCGGACAGTGTCCCCAATTGGCCGAACACGCAGAATACCGCTGCCCGCATTCCGAGCTCCGACTTTTTGTACCACGACGCTAGGATGAATTGTGCGCCAACGCTATTCAAAATTAGTATCGGTCAGAACAGTTTCACGTGCAAAGTAGATTAGGCAATTACTATGCGATAGCTGAGAACCCTCCTTCGATCGCATTTAACAGAATGACCTGCCAGGCTCGTGTCATCTTGTACGTGATCAAGGTCAAGACACTCCAAGTAACGTTGGCAGTAACAAAGACATATTTCGGTCGCACCACTGTGAGAAGGCTTGTACCGGGCATTTGGCAGACGGCGTAGACGACCAGGTACGCGGTGCTCATGTAATTGTACTCTTTCCCCTTGAACCCGAGAGCCTCTTTCATGCCACTGATGTAGGCCGAGGAATAGCTAGACCGTGTCACACCGAAAAGGAACCAAATTAGGGAAAAATAAGGGAGCAGAGTCACGTCCAGCTTGGCAAGCAGAGCCCGATCCTTCGGATCGTGACCCCAAAGCCAGGTCGCAAGTCTGGTTGTGAAGGCCATTTTGACCAGCGTTTATCTAGCTGAGGCGAATCGATACTATCACTTGCAAGTAGTATGGCTATGTCTTATGCAAAGATGGACGTAGATTCGAGTAAATCGGCATCCAAAGGGTCAGATATCTTGCCGCTTGTCGCACAGGCGTCAACTAGCAGATATTCCAATTGCCCTGACAGCAGAAGCAGCAGAAATCAAGATGAAGCTCTTGTCCTGCAGGAAGCAAGATGCTTGCGGTGTTATCAAGCTTGATCTCGGCGATGGTGAAAGACTGCCAGTGAATGGTGAGATCTGCGGCCGATAAGCAAAGGGAGGATGATGTGATCGACGGTGAGGGGCACCAGAAATCCTGCCAACGGCCCGCGTGACTCCAGTGAGTGTCTTTGAGGCTCCAAAGCCGGGGAAATGTCATCTAGTACAGGTAAATCCCTGATACACATAGAATATCATTGCACCTAATACTGCTATGACCGTTACCCACAAAAGCTGTCGCGTTAAGCATCGTTCCATTGACGTCGACATCCCTCAGTACGGGTACATACATATTTCCCATCCCAGACGGAGCACCATAGCTTCTTTTGCAAGTCCCACACAGAACGTACTAACCCCGGCCAACTGAGCCTGCCGTGCTAATTCTCTCACCATACAAGAATAACGGTTGCTTGTTACTGAACTTCTCGATATCATCCAGAATTTCGGCAGCCTCAGGGCTTTCGAATGCCTGCTTCGCTGCGTGGTCGTCCTCAAAAAAGAGCACACATCCGAAGAAGTAAGGGACTTGATGTCCAGTAACACCTGGTCCATACTTCACGACATTCCAGCCCTGTAATCCATATTTTTTCCAGTGACGATCGACAAGAGGCAAATGGTGTGAGAAATAGTACTCGAAATCGTACTTTGCATCGGGTTCATTGGGATAGAGGACGGTAACAGTGTACACCATTGTTTTGATGGTTGACTGGCTAACGGCTTATTGGAGTGATAGTATTAATTGAGGCAGGTGGTATGGAGAGTTGGTGGAGATAAAACACTTGATAGAGAGCAAAA